GCACGAATAAGACAAATATTCACTTGGTTATGCCGCACAATAATTACAACATTTTTAGACAGCAGAGACACGACCTAGAAACATGCTTTCTCCTCTGGTCTCCCTTATTACATGATAACGACTTGCATAGTCCCCTTGCCTAATCATTCGCGGTAACCTGAGGCATGTTTAAAATGTTGGCATCAGCTGATCACTCGCTTAAAATAAAGATGCATACTATGCTCATTTCGTGGGATTGCTCCCTTCCAACGAAAGCTTATTTTGCTTATTTGTCTCGTTTAATCAAAGCGCAAAGCTAGCCTTTACATGAATGAGCTATGTAATTATCCAGTGAAATTGTTGCGTATGGCTGTTTGCAAAGGCATAACGGATGACAATATTTGCGTGTGTTTTGGCGTGCAATCATGCGAACAAGGAACAAATGTAAGCTCCAACTCACAGAGAGCCAAGCGACCACCGTTTCACAGCGCTCATATCTTTGTTTGTAAGTTACTTGAAAAAACGCTATGCTCTCGCCTGACGAGGTACCTTGAAAAATAACGACATTCTTTTTAGCATGCAGTGCCGTTTCCGGAAAGACCGAAGTACTCAAAATTATCATGTATGCTTGGAAAAAGCGCGCGCCGATGTTTTAAACGTAAACCACATCTGGTCCCATTCTTTTTAGACCCTGGCGAAACATATGATATTACATGAAGATACCGTGTCCTCATGAAGCTCCAGGAATATGGCAGGCGCGGGCATATGTTACAACTCCTTCGGAATTTCCTCAATGACCGGTCATTCAGATTCAGATTGGGGCATGCGCTGTCTGACGTTTATCTTCAAGAAAACGGCGCAACGCAGGGCAGCGTTTTCAGAATTTCTTCTTTTTTACTTTAACGATAAATGACATCGGGGCATGCTTCCCTCCGCATATCGGAGGCGAGCTGTTTTTGGACGACCTCGCAGTATGGTGTAGCACGCGACAACTAACGTCATAAGACGACAGCTATAGATGTGTGCTATGTTTGGAGGGATGGACTCCCGGAACAGCTTTCTTCTCCTAAAACGACGATTAGGCACTTTGGCAGATGCGGATTATCTGCAAGGACCCGCAGATATACGTGTACGTCAAGAGATCCCAGGCAAGTCTGAGGAGCGGTTGCTTGGACTACTGTTCGACAACAACAAAAAAAAAAACACTGACGAATGTATCACATTTGAAAAAGCTCAGAGCTAGATGCTTTAAGGATATGAACACTATCGTCAAAGTCGTTGCTAAGATGATGCGTGGTGCTCACAGTAGAACATCGCTCCTTCTGTACATATCAATGATTTGATCTGAGCCGGAATGGTGCTATCAACGCTATGACTGTTATGTTGTTATAAACTGTACTTTTTTCGCCAACAGCACTTCACCAAGAGGCGAAGTCGCTCAAAGGAAATGTTTCAATATATCATGACAAAAGCTAAATTGCAAATATTGGTATTCTTTTGAAGTGGAAAAGACTGCTCTGGACAGCGCAATTCCTTGTTCAGTTGATATGCTCTCCAAGTGTCATGGTTTGATAATGTCGTCATACATTGTAATACAGTAATTGACGGCCACCTGACGGCCGTTAGATCTGGAAATCGCGCTCACGAACGCCAGATATTAACGCCCCGACAATTGTATCTGGTTTTGCCTTGATCGCTCCGTAGCTATCGGAAGAGCGGGGTTTGAATGGCGTTATTATGACGTCATGAATGTCAAGGTGATTTTGAAATACTCACCCCGATTTGCCTTTCCCCGTTTTCATGAGCGTATAGCTCAGGAACTACCGGGGCTTAAGTCCTACGAAGGGCAGGATTACGAACAGTGCCGGAAGGTCTTCAAGATCGCTATTTCAGTCCAAAACCCCATATGAGCGTGTAACACGCCCTTTAAGTAGAATACAATAAATACACAGCGCATTTAAGTAAGAGCATGATTTAAGGATGACATATATCAAAGCTTACTGACGATGATGCAGAGTTAAAACATGCTTGATGACTTGAACTCCAAAAATGCCAAAATTGTCATGAGATATATCCGCGCTAAGGTTGCAAGCTGGGAAGTGCGCTTGGCAGCTTACAAAACAAACCGCCCTGTACTGTCTGCATAGAAGCGCGAGGTACAGCGGGCAGAGTTCGGGTGCGGGTTGAGTGGGACGGCACAAGCAAGGGAAAACAGCTTAACAAGATTTGAGAGTGCAGTTTACCTGAGGAAACGTTTGTCAGAAAAAGTACATCGTGCTGGACTCTTCGCGCTGCTGGCTATGAGATTTTGAAATGAAGCAGAAATGAAGCAGTATGCTGCCTTAGAAACGAGAAGCTTGTTTCCCGGGGAGGATGTGAGTAAGTAACCAAATAAGAAACTTTTGCTGCACTTGATCGACGCACTGTGTGGAAATTGGCCGCCCCCGTCCGACCGATGGACCGAATAAGGAGACCAAGTGCTCGATTGCCCCCACTGACTATGGCAGAGACATGTGAAGCGAAGGTTAGTTTGGTATCCAGTACTACGCCAAACTCTAATTTCACACATACATTAAACCTCAGTTCTAACGAGAAAAAAACTTGGTCTGGACGGGAGTGCCCCTGAGGGCCATCATGAACGTTTTGCGTTTTACAGAGTTGGGAGTCAGCCCCCCCCCCCCCCCCCTGACCGACCGCGATTGTCGAGATCATCCTACAGCAGCAGGCCGTCAGGCGGGAACATAATTACGCGGAAAATTTTGCGTCATCGGCATACAAAAGACGGCCGGATTCGATGATGCACGGAGGATTGAAAAAAGGAGGGGAGCCGAGAGTGATTTATTCAACAAGAGTGGGCGATTTGACAAGAGTGATGGAGGCAAACCATTGTAGTGCAGATGCCCTCAACTGCCATGAATGTTTTAACTTGTTCATTACGAGCTCATGGTTAACGCTCTGAAAAACTGAATAATCAGTGCAGTGGCATTCGTCTGGTATCCGCCCGATATGCCCTTCCCAGCCGATTTCTGGTGAACACGTATGTTTGTGCTGCACGAACGCCTAGGAATGAAGCCATGCTGAGATGGCACAACACAGGCGAGACGTGGCGGAACAGCTTATCATGCGCAACCCGTTCCAGTATCTTTCCGAGGAGAGGAAGAGGGATGTACTTCTGAAATTTGACGGTTCCTTTTATCGCCTTTCTTAATAATTGGTATGATGTTCGCCTGCTCCCACCTCTCCGGTAAAGCACCGGAACTCAACGGAAGGTTACACATCTTCGTGAGCGAAGCAACTAACTCTTCCATGCACTCGGTGATTATGCGGGCACTGCTATTGTCAGTCTCACAAGCCTTGCTGGAACCGGCCAGAGCTGTCGCGTTTCGCACGGCTACCTCAGTGACTCGCAGCTGGCTCAGTGACCCGACTGGATAGCACGACACATCGGGAGGGTTTTGCGCACAGATATCAGCAAAGTTCAGGGAGAAGGCGTCATTTAGGGCGGCGGCTCGAGCCATGCCATTCGACACGAAAATCCCCTCAGTTATACAAGACTGGTCATGTGCATGATTTCTTCGTGATGCATATCAAAAACGATCAGCACCGTTTGGGCATGGTCTTGAAGCCGGCGGTGATTTTATGTAAATGTTGAGGGTACTGGGATTTGGACACGGACTTAAGATCTCGTCTCCTGTCCGTGAGCTCAGCAACGGTCGCCCTGTTGGGGTCTTCCCGCAGGCGTCCGAAAGCTGCTTCTTTCAGCCGGAGAGCAGCTCGCACCGCACCGTCCGACCGGGGGCAGTCGGCGCCGAAGGATCGCTGTGGGGACGTGGTCGACGATGGCCGACTCCAGCAGTTGCAGAAGGCGTCCGCTGCTTGGTCAACGCCGAAGTCATCCAGCAGCCCCCACAGGGCCAGGGAGGGACTCCGGCGCAGACCGTCAAAGTCAGCGCTCTTAAAGCCAAACGCAGTGCGCCGATTGACCAGAGGGCGACTGTTTGCCGGCACACTGAGGGTGGCGATGGTCTCTTTATGATCTGAGTTCAGAAGGCTCTCTTACACGTTGGCCTGTCACGGTATGACGGTACTAGGTCCAGATTGTTCTCTCCTCTCTCCTAAGAACTGGGACTGTTTCACACTTAAAGGCATACCAATAGTTACAACAAATCTTCCCCCATCATATCGGGTGCTTACCTCAATATGTTCAAAGGTGGAACACTCCCTTTTAGGCCCATGCCAAAGCTAAACCGTGCTTTATATTGGTCCTGAAATGCTGCTCCGTTCAGTCCATGCAGATAGTCGCATTGGGATGTCACACACCTGCGGCATAAAAGATCCAGGCTCGTGTTTGCGTATTTGGAGAACGTCGACGAATGCACCGTATGCAACGCACCTCAAATCGACTCACTGCAAATACACGTACGCCGCGATCCCGCGGAAGCCGTAGCACTCGGCGCGTAACTTCACACGCCTGGATTGGGCAGTTTTCAAACGGAGGCTGCGGCGCCCATTTCAGGTAGCCCTGTGAGGGGACCTGGTGGGCGCCTGCCCATCACAGTCGCAGTCCCTTGTCCCAGTGGCCGGCGGGTGACCCGGGAGCTGGAACAGCCTCCGCTGGCCGACCCAGCTGGGGCACGCGGGTGATCCGGGAGCTGGAACAGCCTCCGCTGGCCGACCCAGCTGGGGCACGCGGGTGACCCGGGAGCTGGAACAGCCTCCGCTGGCCGACCCAGCTGGGGCACGCGGGTGACCCAGGAGCTGGAACAGCCTCCACTGGCCGACCCAGCTGGGGCACGCGGCCGTTCGCAGATGCCGGTCGGTGGCTGGCCGGTTCGATCAGCTGTCGGTCTGTGGTACGGAACTACAGTGGGGTTACGGCTGGGTCAGGAGAGGTCATCCTCCCCCCCCCCCCCCCCGAAGCTACTGCCGCCAGCGGGGCTTTGTCCTATCTCACCTATGGCAGTCTTGCTTTGGTAATGCTGGACTTGATGAATAATGACCCCAGAAGAAAGGCCGCGACGTGAAGATTTTCATTGTATTGAATTATCTGACAGAAGATAAGGAAGCATGATGCGCCATCCAACGATACAACTGAGGTCGACGGCTCTAAGTGCTTCAGGTTCCGCATATGTTCAATGCCTGTCTTACGAGGGGCTACAACTCTTACGAAGACTCGACAAAGCACCATCAGTCGGGATTCAACGAAGCCAGAGACAACACTTTGTCTAACGCAGGTCACACGGTTTCCTATTCACCCTGTGATATGCCATCCAACACGCCGTGCTTGGTGGCAGTGACCGGTGTGGGACACATGGCAGTGATAGCTAATTCGGCGGCGGTGCACGTGCGGAGAGGCGAGGCCTCTGCGCAGGTCGGCCACCTGTCTGAACACCCCCGCAGCTAGCGGGCGGCGGCGTGGCACCTGTGACGTCACTCTCTCACTACCGGCCAGTACCGGGCAGACACGCACGCGGACGCACGTGCGCCGATCGCACGCATGGGGCGTAACCACATATTCGGCCCCCTGGGGTGCGGCGCCGATTTGAGTGAAGTTCGAACTGCTTTGAGGCTATTTTGTACGAGCGAGGCGCAGCATGTCATGACGATCTGCCCAGGTTTTAGGGCGGGACCCCACGGATCCGAATGATGGTTACGCCCACGCGCTCTTCCACGCGCTCTTCCACGCCGCGTCCACCCAGCGCGCTCCACGGGAGACTGCTCGCCGCCGGCCGGCGCGTCGCACTCCGCACTCGGAATATATCACAAGAAGCTGAAGCCACACAAAGCGGTGGGCGCGGCGGGCAGAGCGTTGGCGCCGCGGCCCGGTCGGCGCCGCTACTGCGCCTCGGGCCGCTCGAACGGCGGCCTCTCGAACGGCGCCCTCTGGAACGGCGCCCTCTCGAGCGACGGCCTCTCGAAGGGCGCCCTCTCGAACGATGGCCGCCGAGCGCTGTCCTTCCGCCGGCGGCAGACGGCGCAGCGCGAGACGCGCGTGCGTAGGCTGCCCGCCTTCAGCGTCTGCTGCTCGGGCTTCCGGAACTGCATTGGCTCCTCGATGGTGGCCAGCCAGTAGGAGAAGGCGGTGGTGAAGTAGTTGCAGCGACCGTGGCCGTGGCATTCGATGAAGGGCGTGGGTCGGAAGTCCTCCAGGCAGGAGCCGGGAGAGACGAGCGACTGGCCGCCGCCTTCGGCGCCCGCGTCCGTGTGCTGCGGGCAGCGGCGGTCACGGTCAACGTCAGGGCAAAGGTCACGGTCGTGACGACGGCAGCGATCACGATCAAAGGGATGGCCACGGTTTCGCTGACGGCCACGGCCAAGGTAATGGTAGCGGTTATGGTTATACTAATAGTCACAGCCGCATTCACCACAATTGTTGCAGTTACGATCGTAACACGGCTGCGGTTACAATAGAGGGACGTGGTCACAGTGCGGTCACAGCCATGGTCCGGGTCTCAGTTACGAATGGTCCGAATTGCTGCCATTGTTAAGGAAATAGTAGTCACCGTTGTGGCCGTAGTAGACAGGCACTGTCACATACATTGTAGGACGTGACATGACAGTCACGCTAGATAGTGACCGTCAAGCGCACTGTCATAAATACAATCTGATTGATAGTGGTACGTTCACAGTTGCAGTCCGATTCGATATTTCCACAAAACAAAAGCAAAAGTGAGACACATGTGACACTTAAGTATTCAAATACGCCATTGCATGCCAAAAAAATACTCGGAATTATCACGAACGGCCCTGAAGCGTCCAGGCACCTTAAAGCCCCACTTACTACTGCTACTATTACTGCAACTGCCGTAAACCAGCGTTGACTACCAAGTACAGTTCTGTTTTACTTTTCAGACGGCCTTTTTTCAAAACAGCACGAACGAAGCAGCTGCATGTACGAAATGGCTGTTCGTGGCACCGCATTGCCGCCTCTTCCAGCCCGCCATTGCCGCCTCTCACCATGAGGAAGGAGTAGCCGATCCATATGCTCTCCCAGTTCCGCGGACACTCCGGCACGTCCATGCTCTGGCTGTGGATGGCTATCACCAGGGTGTCTGACTCGCACACCGAACACCTGCCGAACAAAGCAGGAGTGATGTATTTCTCCGACGCTTCGCATTTACTGACCAGTTACTCATTCCCTAACTCCAAACGTATTTGCGTGCCGTTGCATCTCTTCCTGGCCTGAAAAATGGGACCACCGCCATTGGGTGAAGAAAGACGCACGTGCATACCGTCTGCCCTTCCGAGACGCCTTTTGGTATGATGCGGAGTTACTTGCTGGCTTTTCGCACTTCCACAGCGGCCTGAACTTAATCGGCGGCACACGTGGAAGATAAATAGGTGTGCTTATCCCGCACTGTGGGTCGCTGGTTGGTACTAGGTGTTGGCGCTTAGCGCGCAATGACAGTCTTGGCTAGGATACATTTTCTCGTGTTGCCAGTCATGAGCGGACAACTGCTACATTTAATAAGCTAATTACATCTATATATACGCAATGGACTTACACTTATCAAAATCTGTACATGCCATAATTCCGTGCGTCTCACTAGGACAACAATGGTAGCGCAGTACGAGTGGGTCCGCCTGCTATTCCACAGAAGGTGATCAATCACATTACCTCGAGATGTACGGCTGGATTTCGTTCCCCCGGATCGGTGTCATCATCATGGGCATCGGCTCCGGCGTGCTCAGCCAGTAGCTGTAGTCGTTGCGCTGAGCGTACTCGCACTGGTTGTTGATGTTGCAGAACAGGTACGGCATGGTGGAGAATTTGCGCATGCAGGACCCTGGGGTGCCTAGGAGGATAACAGTTTGTAAGCTTGTGGGGAGTGACCTGTAGTCGACAGGGCGCTGGGTATCACTGCAGCGCCCTCCCGAAAATTGTGGGGAACCCTACCGTGAACCACTGATCCAATCGAGTCCACACCAGAGCCGAGCACACGAGCAGAGCACCGCTCGGCGCCGGCTGTGCCGCACTCACCGAGGTCGGCGCCGTGGGCCTTGGAGTTTGCCGGTGACGTGCAGCAGCGAGAAGCCGTCCCAGAGGCGTACCGAGCCGGGCGGACACTGCGGCAGCGACGCCGTCTGGCTGTGGCGGGTGAAGTGGAAGCCACGCGGCCGCGGCGGCGGGCCCGCCGATGCCGGCTCGCCGGGGGCGCCGACCCGGCCGACTGGGCCCGACACGCCCGGGTTGCCGTCGCGGCCCGGCACGCCCACCATGCCCTTGAAGCCGGCGGCGCCGGGCCGGCCGGCCCTGCCGCTGCGGCCCTCGTCGCCCTGCAGGCCCGGCAGGCCGTCGGGGCCCGGCTTGCCCATGCGACCGCGCGCGCCCGGCCGACCCGGCGGGCCGTCCGGGCCTGGATCGCCGCGGCCGCCCTTCAGACCGAATGCGGCTAGGTCTCCGGGGAATCCCTTGAGGCCGGGCAAGCCGGGGAAGCCGGCCTGGCCCGCTGGGCCGGGCAGGCCGTCCAGGCCGCGAGCCCGGCCGACCGTCGAAGCCCGGCAGGCCCGGCACGCCGCTCTCGCCCTTGAGGCCAGGCCGACCGGCAGGCCGGGCAAGCCCGGTCCGCCGCTGTCGCCCCGCTCACCCCTGTTGGGCAGTGGGGAACAGTGTTACACGGTAATAACTGGAATGCGGCTTCAGTTTTGCTGTGTGCCGCTTTCCTCTGTCACTTTGAAATCTAAATTATATTTTGCAAGATCTTTCAGTCCCTACCACACACGCACATACTCCTTTGCAAAACAAAGGAAAAAACACGGCAGGAGAAAATGTAACGAATGATGTAATGCGATATAACTAAAGTGCAGTGCAAAAAGCAGGTCCAGTTCATGACCACATAGCAGTAAACTAGCAACATTCCAAAGGCCACATCACCGGGGCTGCTGGACACAGCCTGTGCCAACTCACGCTAGTCCTGGGAAGCCCGAGAAGCCGTCATCGCCGGCCTCGCCTGGTTGTCCGGGAGTTCCGGCCGGGCCCTGATCACCGGGCAGGCCGTCTAGGCCGGGCCGGCCCCTGGCGCCGGGCAGGCCGTCGCTGCCGCGCTCGCCCTTGCCGCCGCCGACCGTGCCGCCGCGCTCGCCCTGCGGGCCGGCTGGGCCCTGCTCGCCGTAATCGCCGGGGCACCCTTCTGGCCCTCGAAGCCGAGCAAGCCGGGCAGACCGTCGCGGCCGGCCGGCCCTGCTCGCCGCGCGCCCCGGGCACGATGGCGCCGCGCCGGCCGGCCGGGCCCGGGTCTCCGGCGGCGCCGGGCCCCCGGGGCGTCCGGCGCCGCCCTCGCGCCCGCCTCTCCCGGTGCGCCGATCGGGCCTCGCGAGCCCTTCGGCCCTGCCTCCGGGCCCCGGCGCCCCTCGCCGTGCGTGCCCTGCGGCCCCTCGTCGCCGATCTCGCCGTGGGCGCCGGGCCCGCCTGCCCCTCTCGCCGCTGGGCCCGGCCCCCGCGAGCCGGGAAGGCCTGTCGCGCCAGCCGTCCGATGTTACCAGGCATGCCTGCAGGGAAGGAGATGGTGCC